AGATTGCAGTCGGCGGAGCGAGCTGCTGCGAGCCCGGCGGAGGGTCATTTCCTGGTGTTGCCGGAGAGTTCAGTAGTGGATGCCTTCCTGACGAAGTCACCCGATAGGGTGCTAAATAGGCAGGTCAGAGATTTCATCAGGAATGGCAAGAATGCTTCAGCACTGGAGGTTCTCAACCAGATCGTGGCGAACTCTCGTCTCGGGCGAGCGCGTCGGGATTCGGATGTTTCACTCCCTCTCGGAGGTGGGTTAAGACTCTGGACACCAGGGATTCCCGAGAATCGAGGAGGCGCAGATATCGACCGCGTGACGAAGATCGAGACCGAAGGAGGGACGATGTTCGAGATTGTCGAGGTAATGATTCGCTCGATCTAGAGCGAGATCGAAGGCGAGACGATCGCAGGAGATCCGAGAGGGATCGTGACAGGGACCGTGCGCGGGGCGGACGTGACCGGAGGAGACGTGACGATAGCCGATAGGCTAAGTCACGGGGATTGCGGCCGATAGGCTTGCGTCCGTTCTCCGATGGTTGGCGCGGCGCGGAGATGATGATTTTCCTTCCGAACCGCTGAGGCGCGGAGATCATGTCTCTCCCGCACCGCTGCTCGGCTGCTGGTCATGCTCATCATGAAGTAGTGTGAGCGAGAGGGGATGCAAACTGATGGAGGGTACTCCCAATCTTGCGGAATTCAAATATTTTTCAGATACGCATGGTCAGGGGTACCTCTTGCCGGTAGGCGAGGGTACTGATGAACATTCGTCATCCTTTGTTTCATGGCTTCTGATAAGATTTGAACTACTTGCACTGTTGATGCAAACAGTTGCGACCTAGTGTCGTCATGTGGACTTTTCCACAAGGTATGTTGGACAGCGTTACCCCGATTAATTCGGGGTGGTGGCGGGAATTTAATGCCCGGGATGTCGCGCAACTGCCTTTGTGGGTTTGCTCCACCGCTAACGACGGTAATGTCCAGCTGTTTGCGGACGCATGCGAGCAGTTAAATCCTATCAGTAAATGGCACGCTCCACCCGTCATATGACGGGCTCCTCGTGAGGGGGGTGTGATTAGCCATGGTTCATTTCATCATCAGGGATGTCGCGGTAGTGACTGACCTGTGATGTTTGGCTCAAGTCTGCGGGTCCGTCGCGCCTCGGATGAGCGTCGCCGGGTCCCCGCGTCGATCACCTTCGTGTCGGTGGAGAAAGAGACATCGGCCCGGGGCAGATTGGCGGGGTCGTCGATCAAGGTTGGGGTTCTTGTTTACTTGTTTTGGTATTTCCCTTTTGGTTGTTGTTCTCTGGTGTGTGGGAAACCCTGATCTTTGGGACCGGGGATTGGTTTGCTTTTGGGGAACCTTTCTTTTGTGGCTTGTTTACCCCAACTTACCCATTGCCTGGGCACAGGCTCGTGCCCGAATCACACCATGGGACAATTTGGATTCATTTGAGGGTGAGCAGGGATGATTCAACAAGCCATCATGTTTCAATCCGAGAACCCCCTTCTTGGCGTGCTGTTTTCCAGCGCGGTTTCCGCGCTGTTTTGGCGGCACGGGGATGGGATTTGGTGAGGCCAAGGACATTCACTTGCGTGGGTGCTATTGAAAGCTGACCATATCTTTCGCTGTGGGCCTGATTCACAGGCACGTTTCACCCATTGTTTTGTAGGGAGCGAACAGGCAAAGCACGGGATGTGTTAGGGACTTAACCAAGAAGCCAGTGAGATATCCTTTCGTCATCTCTTTTCAATAGGACCCGAAAGACCCTGTGTGCTTTGTTTGGGCGCAGCGCAGGGCTGAGAGGCGCAAGAGGCTGCATATGATGTTGCCTTCAGGTTTGTTCATGACCCAAGAACACGAATAAAGTCCAGATTGGTCTTTTCGTCAGCATCCGTTTGGTTATTGTAGCGCCGCCATGGTTTCCACCAACGGGCTGTTTGCCCCACTCCGCTTGATTCGCTTGCGCAAAGAGGCGTCACCTCGGCCACGCCAAACTGGGCACGGCCGGTACCAGTGTTGGCAAGGAATGTTGGGTCTTGTGGGTTCCCAAATGGGAACAAGCAATTTGGATCCAGCCTCAGATTTCTTGTTCTCAGTGAAGGTGTTTCCGGAGCGGCAAGCAGCAATTTGTCAACCATGTTCATTCCGCATGTTCAATGTGTGTGTGTGTTTGTGATTCCCATGCAAGGCAAGAGCAAGGACCCGGAGATTCCTCTGCCAGCGAGCCATGTGAGACTGTTGCGCCAATTTCTTGGCATTGCGCCCGCGCCAAAAAGAAGCACAGGTCAGTGATCCTGTCAGGACAGTTCTGAGCTTGATGCTGGCAACGGGTCTCTTATGTAAGAACATGGGTGCACAAGCGCACGGGTCTTTTGCTAGCTCGCTGAGTTGTTGCTTTCGATGTGCTCAATGTATCGTTTTCAAAACGTTGCTCCAAAAAAGGGGCAAAGGGCCAAAAGGGCCTGTTTGGCAAAGAAATTGCACTGTAGCTCGCCTGAGTTTGGGAAAGCGAAAACGAGCCTGCATCCTTCTCTATCAGCGAAAGCGAAACGAAAGCAACGTCTTCCCTTTCGCAACGTCGCCTTGCGAAAGCCTTCGCGAAAGGATCCGCCGACATTGTCCGCTCCTTTGTCCTTCTTTCTCTCCCTCTTTTCTCCCTCTTTTCTCCTTCCTCTCTCCCTTGTCTCCCTGCGTTCTGTCGTCGTCTCTCCCTCCCTCTGCTCCCCATTCTCCCCATTCTCCCCACCCCCCCAAGCCTCTCTCTCCTCAATCTCCCTCTCTCTGCCTCTCTCTCTCTCTCTCTCTCTCTCTCTCTCTCTCTCTCTCTCTCTCTCTCTCTCTCTCTCTCTCTCTCTCTCTCTCTCTCTGCTGTCTCTGTTTCTCTGTCTCTTTCTGTCTCCCTGTCTTTTTCCTGTCCACGTACCCTAATTCGAACCTCTCTACTCTCTCACTTTCTCGCTCTCTCTCTCTCTCTCTGTCTTTCTGTGTCTCTCTTTCTCAGTCTCCGTCTTTCTCTCTCTCGCTGTCTCTCTCTCTCTGTCTGTCTCTTTCTCTGTTTCTCTGATTCTGGCTCTGTCTGTGGCTCTGTCTCTCTCTCTCTCTTTCTGTCTCTGTCTCTCTCCCGCTCTCTCCCTCTCTCTCTCTCTCTCTCTCTCTCTCTCTCTCTGTCTCTCTCTCTCTCTCTCTCTCTCTCTCTCTCTCTCTCTCTCTCTCTCTCTCTCTCTCTCTCTCTCTCTCTCTCTCTCTCTCTCTCTCTCTCTCTCTCTCTCTCTGCATTGCAGCGTCGAAACAAAGGGGAACTGAAAGGGACGTGCAAGGGACAGAAATGAAAACAAGGGCAGTGCAGGGGGAAGGAAAGGGAAACAAAGCATAAGGAAACCAATCGGCGCGACGGGAGATGTAGGGAAATGACTCGCAACAAAAAAACGGGACACACATGGGCAAATGAAGCGGACATACCGACGAGAAAATGTCAGGGACATGAAGGGGGTTGAACGGCATGGAAGAGACAGGACCAGGACATCATGGGAAACGTGAAAAGGACATGAAGGGGGAAAGCCAGTCGTGAGATGACAGTTCAGGGTCGTGCGAGGCAAGTGTGTGACCGAAGGATGCCTCTCTTCACTACATCCCTTTCTCTTACCTCTCCCTAACATAGAGATTATTGGGTGGGAGAGGTAAAGGGATGTAGAGATGACGAATGCTTCCTTTTCCCTTCCGTCAAAGGCATTCAGAATCTATTAGTTGGGTCAGTGAGAGAAGGGAATGAGACCCAACGTACGCTCTCTTCTATCACTTCCCTCTCTGTTCACCATCTCATATTGGTTCACAGGGAAGTGTCTAAGGCAACTCAGGGGGGGACGACTTCCTATTTCCTCCCTTCATTTCCTTGCACTTCCTTGCATTTCCCCTTTGCTCCCCAATGTTTCCCGCAAAAAAAACCAGTTTTTCCAGCGTTTTCGCAATTAGGAAAAACACAGAGTTTTTCCAGATTTTCTGCAAAAGGAGGCAGGAACCCCGAACCAGCAAAGAGCCAGCAAAGAGCCAGCAAAGAGCCGCGCGGTCCTTGGCGGGGGGGGGGGCCCCCCGTATCAGACGTCGGGCGGGGGGGGGGGGGTTAGGGGGAGGGTTATCCTCTATCCTCTCTTAGGTGTCCGACAGGCCGAGCAGGTGTCGAGCAACGTCGGCGGATTTCTTTTCAACTGCAACTGGGCTTGGAACACCGCTCAATTGGGACCACAACAGCCGGTCAGCACAAATAACGAAAACAACTTCTGAATTGATGCCTGCTTGATGTGCCCTCGAGTTTGAGTTTTAGGCGAATTTTGGGTGTGAGGTGCTGGTCTGTTTCATGCGGGATTCCAAACAACACCAAGGGGAGGTTTCTCAATGGCTTCTCCCTATCAATAAATCCTGCCCCCTAGTTATACCAATTTGTTTTTGGAAGATATTAATAGGGTTCCAGAGGTCTCCGTTTTTCCCTTTGGGAAATGTGCCGCTGGTTTTGGGGGGGTAGACGTGCAACTTGCGCAATTGAATTTGCAACTTTCACGTTAGAAATCCAGAAGGGAAGTGCTATTGGCAAAGCATTGCGTCGGCAAGGGGGCTTGTTGGGTTTTTTCCCAAACACTGCAGATTGGTGAATAGCGGTGGGTGTATTGCTAGGGTTCCATGTCCTTCTCTTTGGCAGTTCGCATGTGTGACCGACCAATGCACCAAGACAGAGCGCTGGCTTCAATGTTTTGCCCGTTAGGTTTCCCTCGCTTGCTTTGGAGATCAAAGGGTTCTGCCACACATTCGCATTATTTGGAAGTGGCCTGCAGTTCCCGACATTCTGTTGCACCTCGCCGCCTCTGCTTCCTCCGAGCCTACCAAAACCAGGTCCAGCCACAAGGACGCCGGTTTGGAAACACCAGCTTTGAACCGCCGCTTGGACGTGACACCAAGAGAAGCTTTGGACCACAGCCAAATTACATGGCGCTGTCATCGATGGCATTTGTCACGCGAAGAGTTTGTCAAGCAGGATGCCATGGCGCCATGTCGAAAGGCGTGGTGCCCGTCTCAGATCTTTCCGCCGATGCAGATGTTTGCACGGAGCACAGTACGATGTGTCGAACGCGTGTCTTTTTTTGGGCCCTTGGGAAGATGAGCTTGAGCTCTTTGTTGCTCGGACCGCTTGCGCCACAATCCCCGTTGCGCCCAGAACGGAGCTCTGCACATTGCTCAGCTTCCCGGCGGACTGAACACCGACGTGCGTTTTGCCTGATTTCCAAACGTCAACCTCGAACGCCACTGGCACAAAGAGGATGCAGAGCCTTGGTGCCTGACAAAGCCATCTGGGCTGAAAAACAAACCCGACCGGGAAAAACCTGCAATTGTGGAACGCTTAACACGGGTACATGCACGACAAAAAAAGACTAAGTGAAGACCAGCATCCACCCTGTGCAAACACCTCAAGAGACTGGGTGGACTATATTCCCAGAACAAAAACGTGTTTAAACATGCAAAACATAACGATGAGCCTTACGCGCAACACATGGAAAGTATGAAAAACTCCCTGACACTTGCGTGGGAAGACGCTTTTCCAAAGAGCTTAGCACGCGAAAAGGATAAACAAAAACTGACGCCCAGAAACTGAAGCTTACTCGAAAAATTTAATAACTGAAGCTTAGGGTGACAATATAACAAAAACTGACCCTCGTGGTAAGCTTAGGCGAAATCGATAACTCAAAGCGAGGGTAATCCTTGCGTGGTGACAGGTAGTGTTCAAGCAAACTGATGAAAGCTAAGTGGACCGACGCGCCAACTTCATGTGAGTTCTGCAGACAGGAGGACGCCTGGGAGCATCGATAAAAGACCTGCATCTACTCTCAGCCTACGCTCAGTGACACTGAGCAGTAAATGACACACCGCTTGAACTTCCATAATGCCACGATGCGATTCCACAACGAGCTCGCCCTGTTGAGACTCAACATGCCTTTCAATAGGCCAAACTTCATCCTTGACCCTGCGCGGACTTGGGGCATGTGCGCGGACGGTAGTTGTGATAACAGTGCGACAACTCCTGAGCACTAAGAAGAGCAGGTAGCAATTGACTAATCCAAACAGATGCAGCCAGATGGTGCCTCGCAAAACAGTTTCTTGAAAATAAACTCATGCTGCCAGGGACAGCTGCCTGGAATGCAAGGCGTAACTAGAGCCGAACTCGATGCGTGACCATAGCCGTAAGATAAAGGCGCCTGCCGATATCTATTCAGATAATGCCTACGCATTGCAGATGGCAGACGTGCTTAGGCGAGAACCAGACAAAAAAGCTTTTGGAACGCAAAAAAAATCGACCTCTGATGCAGCTGCGTGAGGCCTACAGTGAAAGATCAGAGGAACCCCCTTTAGTCTTGCATAAAGTAAAGAGCCATCAAGACCCAGGACAGGTGGGCGCATCTGTCAAAGCTAACCATTAATTGGAAACGCTATTGCAGACACAGCGACAAAGAGCGCCAGAGAAAACCTTGCCCCGGTGCCCAAGGAGGCTCACAATAAATGCAACATTTTTTGTCAGAACGTGGTTGGCATCTACGAAAATTTTCTTCGGGCGGCGACCCAACTGGCATAGAGGCAACACCTGCCAGAAAGGAATAACACCAAATATGCAGAGTAAAAACCCTTAGTCACCGCCGCACGTGATGATCCTTCAGGGTTGTGCGCCAGGCATAACTCTTACCCTGCCGCAGTGACGGCAGAGGACTACTATGGTCCAACTGCTTAACTCGACTTGTTAACTTCTTGAATCTGCTGCGATGGCCGGACAACTAGAAGATCTTGGATGCGATCACCTGGGTTGAGCTTTTGCAATCCTATCGCTTGTGTGCTCAATCAAATCCACCGTGAACCTTGAACCTAAGGGAAAGAACAAATACCGGCTACCAGATCTGTGTGACGAAGCCAAGATGCAAAGCATTTGCATGGCCACCATGATCAAAAAAATCGACCCATGTAAAAGTTCTTTCGAGGCCTTCGTGCTGCAAGCGTCACCACTACGTTCTAAACTAAACGACGAACAAACCAAACCAAACAAAAGCCACAAACCTGACTGCACATTTGCCCGCTCCTGTGCCTTTTGGCTCAAAGTTTGAAGCATGATCACACTGTGGGTATCTACTCAGCCTTTTGGCAAGCGCCGGGCTCCTGTCAAGAAGCTGCGCCAAAACACAAATCATAAAGAGGACCGCGGGCTCCAGCCGCCCAACCTTCACCTAGGACCTGGCATCCCCGCTGCTTTCTGGACATGTGTTTTGCGCAGAGGTGTGGTTTTTGGCTGAGTGATCATGCCGTGCGGCCTGCGCTCTCAAAAAGCTTGGAACTTCGGGGTGTCGGGCTGCAAACTGGCAGCGTCAGCAGGGCGATGCGCATCCCGACCCTTCCAACCTCGCATCAAGAAAAGCGCTGCAGCAGAAAAACAACTTGAAATTGACACGAGAACCAACGAGCAGCCACTGAAGCCTTTTTCGCTTGCAGAGTTCAGCCGGCCAGGCTAGACGACCAGGTCTCATCCTCATCTTCAGACATTGTTTGAGGGGCGGAGCGCGCTCCGAAGCACAGCTCGAGCATACGCTTCGGTTTCTGCACGCATTGCGCGTAACCCCGGCCCGGCAGCCCTACTGTGTCGCGGGCACTTGCGCAGCTTACGCTCAGGCCTTCTCGTGTCACGCGAGATGCCCCAGTCGATCACAGCCTGCAGCCCGCGACCCTACTAAGACAATCAACCGACGGGCGTTTGGACGCCTTGTTGCCCAAACGGCGTCTCGCTGCTGGGTCGCGCCTCATTTTTCAACAAGAGGCACGAGACATCGTGGTTTAGCTGAAACCCATGTCTTCGACGGGTCCCAACGCTTGGCTGCAATCGCGCGCTGTCAACTGCTTGCGTGCTTCCTTGTGTGCTTCTCACGCTTAGGGGCCACTTCGTGAATGCTGTTGCGGGAAGAGGAGTTCTGTGTTGGGAGCATTTTCTGAGGGACAGCTGTCTTCTATCATTGCCTGTGTGTGGCCTCAGATTCATGTTCATGAGGCGCCAGATGCTATTTCTTTGAGCCGCTGGCTCAAGGGCCGGAGCTGGCCACAGGCTGTGCGGATGATTTGGTGCTTAACTAGCTGCTTCAAATTGCGCTGATTTGTGGCATGTGGCGAACTCCAACTCAAGATAGTGGTCTGACGTTAACAGCTCAACATATGCTTTTCCCGGACCCGTCAACCCCAACAGTGGCACAGGTGAATGTTAGCTGTTCTTTTTCGGATCCAAGTTTGGAGTTTTGGGGTTTTACAGGCCCATTGATCGCCACACAAAACTTTCTAACGGAGAGGCGTGGCAACGCGTGTGGAATTGGCCACATGGCTTTGAGTTGATTGGCAACTATTTCGCTTGCATCGAGGCGGTTACAGTGATGGCTTGTACCCTGGCAGCTCTCATTTCCCCAGATGAGTTAACATTGAAGTATTTCGATGTTGTCGCTCTCCGGCCGTGGCTTTTTGGCGCAGGCATTGCTCCTCTTTCAGAAGACCCAGCAAAGCCGGGTGTGTTGCTGAGTCAGTGGTCGCTTTAGTAAGAGTAAGAGTCGCGTCATTTCGACCTGCGTGTGAACTCCAAGGAGACCCAACCAACGCGGCCTCTTCATGACACGTTCCTTGACAGCTGTTGGTACTGCTCTTGACAGACAGTGTTTTCATGAGGACACGTCTTCGCGTTTAACATAGACTGAAACAGAAAGCCCCAAAAATTCTCAGACCCGCTTGGAAAATTCCAGCTTTCCTTAGCCCTGTTTGCAAGGACTGCAGCTGCGAAATTCAGGACGTGACAGGGCAGGGAATAATCCTGATGCGCGTGGTGAGGGCTTTTAGGGCAACCGTGCAACGCGCAACGCTGGGTGGTAAACTACGTTTATTGAGCCGGCGCTGAGGTCCAACCAGACTTGGTTGCTGTCAATTCTCTTCTCGCTGCACTGCGACCAGCGTGGGCCAGGGCCTAAAGCGCCAAGAAAGAGGGGCAGGGGCAGGGAGGGGGGAGGGTACTGCTGCAAAGAGTTTTCAGTGTTTCACCTGGCGCTGGCCAACCAAAAACGTCGCACAGCGCCAAGTTCTTTGCGCGGCCGAGGCCTGGGCATTGTGCATCCTCGGCGGCGCTGCAAGGCAGCCTGTCGTTTTAGCCACCATGCGTCTCGCCCACGTGTGAGTCTCGTTATCGAACTTTGGACGAACTTCTTATGCTCAACTTAGCTAGACATCTTTTGAGCGGTTTCTTGTCACAGAGCCATGTGTGGTACGGGACTAGTGCGTCCTGAACCAAGATCTTCCAATACCCCTTTATTACGAACACCCTGCATTAAGGATCCTTAACAAAGCGGTGTAATGAGTCTAAGGAAGGTTCATGGCTTCGGCCCGCCTTCGCATGCGCGGGCGCGTGGTCTTCAAGGAGCTCTTTTAGCGCTAGTCATGACTTCAAGCGCCTCCAACACGGCGTCAGCGCAGGTAGTGCAGAAAGTCACCTGCCGAAGCTGATTCCGGCGAAAGCCTGATGACAGACCTGCTGGGCTACACCCTTTGCCCGGCCGTAGGGCTCTTGGCCGCAGCCGCGAAGACGGCCTTTCTAAAGACAGAGGTCGACATGTTTGTGCGGCAGCTTGCCCGGGCCTTTCAGGAGACCCGTGTGCCTGATGCGGAAAGCGACCTGCCTTGTTTCCGGCGCTGTTCAGGCCCGTCAGCATGTGGTTTTCCCTGCGTGCTTGGCACGAAGAGACATGGTTTTCAGCTGGGCGTTGTCTAAGATCCGGCAGTTGCGCGATCTGGCGCGTGTCATGCAAGGCAGGCGGATATTGTTGCTTAGCAAGCTGTTGCAGACAATTGGGCAAATTGATGCGCACTTGACAAGACACATGTCCCTGGGTTTCCCGTCCGTTGCACAGGTGGGCGGAGCGGTCCGGTGTCTTTGCCGACGATTTGCAGCCCAGCGAGCTGCTTGACATGGCGCAGTGTGCCAGTCGCCAGACAGTTGGAGCTTGCCGTGGGTCCCTGCGCCCTGGCATAGATGTGGAACTTTGGGGCGCCGCAAGGAAGGATGTCGAGAGCAGTCCTTTCGACTTGCAGACAGCGCAGCAGCAGGCGGCCGGGAAGTTGGTGCTCTCAAGGCGTTTTGCGGCGCAACAGATGTCAAAGATCCGGGTCATTGATGACTTCTCGGCCAGCAACGTAAATGCTTGCGCAGGAGTGCGAGAAAAGGTCCGGGTTGACTCTGTGGACGCGGAAGCTAGCGTGATCCGGCAGTGGTCCTTGCACTCAAAGCCGGGGCGGCGTGCGCGCCGAGCATCAGCATGCTGCATCAACCGGCAAAGCCGTCCGACTTTTCTTTGAGTTGCTTGGGTGGAAGCTGGCCCTGGAGCCAGACAAGAACCAGCCGTTCTGGAAGAGCACAGGGCGAAGGGCATTTCTTTTGATTAGTTCAGGCGTCCCGCAGCGGCGCTTGATCGAACGCGGGAAGACACGCATGTTCGCCATTGCTGCGTGCCCAGGATTTTCTTTTGTTTTTTGCTTTTTTGTGCTCCTTCAGCGCCGCAGCTGCCATGTCTTCAGACTCGTTGCCCCAGCCTGCCTGGCGCCGACGGCCCCAGACTGCTCAAGTTTGGACAAGTCCGTGTTCGACAGCGAGAGAACGCCGTCCCGCGCTTGCGTCAGGTCGAAGACGACGCCAAGCGCAGCAAAGATTGTCGAGGGCTTGGGCGCGCGCTGCCCGTGCCGCCTCTTTGCCGCCAGCCTTGGCGTTGGCGCGGCTGGCGATACGCTTGTCCGTCATCTTCAGCTGCTTCTTTCGAGGAGCGGGTGAAGTTGTAGCCGCCTGCTGTTTCGCGGCTGGCTTCTTTGCTGGCCTCGATGTCCGGGGCGGCGGCTCTGTCTCGTCCTTGCCGGGGCTGGCGGGCTCGCGATCGTCAGTGGCAGCGATGTGCTGCGCACTGGCAAGCTGTCGTGCAGGAAAGCCATGGGGCTGCTGGGTGCCCATGGAAGCGCTTCAGGCAGCAAGGGTGCAGGCGAGGAGTTGCAGGTGGTTTTTCCTGGCTACGTGATCGGGTGTTGCCCGGGCCTCCACGGCGCATTTCCATTGCCAAGAGGGAGACTTACCTCTTGTTTCTGGGTGGCGCGCGCAAGCAGAGCAGGAGAGTGCAGGCATTCAAGGCTCCACTGGTGGGGTGCTGGTCAGCAAGGAGAGCGGGCCCATTGCTCATCCCCGCAGAAGCAGGCGCTGCCCAGCTATGAGCTGAGTGCTTGGGCCATCCGAACGAGGATCCTCGAGTAGGAGGACATCGGGAAAGAGCATGGGAGATGAGCCACTGCGAGCAGCAGACAGATCAAGGTTGTGTGCGCAAGACTTCCAGACACGGACGAGCGAACCACTTTGGAGCACATCGCGAAGGAGCTGCAGGGCTCACCTTACCGGGAAGAACCGGGAAGGGTTAGCTGGTCTTGGGAGGGCCAGGAAGTAATTTACTTGCCTCTGAGTCGCTTTTCGGCATCACAAGGTACAGAACCTGCCACCTGGGCTGACGTGTGGCCATGCTTGGAGAGGACCTCAGCAACAAAAACAATTGAACAATCTGTGACGGATTTCAAGAGCGTTCCCGCTATTTTTCGTCTCCAGCAAACTCCTTCATCCAGCTGCGGGCTCTCCGGCGCAAGAGAGAAAGTCAGTCTCAGGAATCCGCAGCCAAGTGAAACCCAGCCGTGGAAGGTGCAAGATGGCACGCGGCAGAAGTATGCCGCAACATTCACCAGGGACTCCCATTACCCCAAGCACAAAGGCTTGCCCTCTGCAACCGACGCCGAACAAGAAAAACCGTTGTTTGTCAGAAACCATCGGGTGTGCCAGGGCTGCAGGGAGCTGCTGGAGCTGGCCTGTGGTGCTGGTGGCGCGTCCACTGATCGGGCTGATCCTCAAACAGGACGATGGCAAGCCTGGAGCGGGTGGGTTGGAATGGTAGCCAGGCTGCGTGCAGCATCACGTGGCGCGGGAGGCGCAGGTTGACGGATGTGATCGGCGCTGCAGAAGCTGCCAAGCCGAGGGAAGAAGCTTGAGGGCTCTGTGTCGGGCGTGTTCAGTGGGAAAGCACAAGAGGCGCTGCAGTGGGCAGCTGGCAATGAGACTGGGGTGACCAAGGCGGAGCTGGACAGCGCCTATGTGGAGTTGTCCTTGATCAAGAGGCTCCGCTACCATCCAAACATGGCCTCAACGCTCTTTCTATGGAGCGAGACAAGTTCAATGAGCCTACATCCAAACATGGCCTTGTCGCTCTTTCTGATTACTGAAGAGAACTGAGATGAGCAAAATCTGGCCGAGGCCAGAGGTGCCTAAGGCACCGGCGAAAAACATGGGTGAAAAAGAGAATACCGCCCGAGGTGAGATGCTCGGCCAAGGACCAGACGCCAATAGCAAAGCATCTTTTGCCAAAAGAAAAATTGGCCGTGCCGCACAAGCTTCACCCAAGTTGAATTTCAACGAGGGATACAAGTGTACCTCCATATGAAAAAGTTCGCTGCGCGGACGCACCCCTCAGGCAAGTGCGGTTGGCGTGTGATCGAGAAAAGACCTAAGTTGGCCAAGCAGGCTTGAAGGGGCCGTTGGGCCGTTTTTCGTGAAAGGATTTGCACGCAAGAAACCTTTCACAATCTCCCGTGGCATATTCAAGTTGCAGCATTTTCTTTATTCTGGCACAAGCGTATTGGATTGTTGATTTACTTTGCCATTTAGATGGAATGCAAAGTTTCTTTTACCTCCTTTCCGTAGGGGAGTTCAGGTCTACACGTCAACCCTGCATTTTCATACTGAAAGCCCAATATGTTTTTGCTAGTGTCCGCCGGAAAGATCCGAAGTCGGAGCATATCCTGCGGGATGACAAATGATGTAGCGAGGCCTGTGTCCGCACATCCTGGGCCGGAGGCTTCTCAATTAAAATCCAGCCGCAGGCTCCTGCCAGCCCCGCAGCGCCTCACTACGCAAGGGCTTGTCCTCTGCCTCCTCACTGCTCTGCCGCCATTCCGCAGTTGCTTGCGCACTCAGCTTCGCGCACAGGCACGCCACGGCCGGCTGCAGGCGCGCCTTGCTTGGGTGCTCCTGCGGCGCATCTACTGGTCCAGCGCCGAAACCTTGTTTGGGTCCGGACTGCCCGCGCGCCGAGCAAGGTCCACGGCCGTGCGGTTGGAGTACTGGAAGCGCCTTCACTCAGTCGGCGGACAACCACACTCCTTTTTCGCCTGGTCTAAGCTTCCTACATATGGCGCGCGCTCGGCCGCGGCCAAGAAGTTGCGAATCGTCCGGGGAGCGCGCTTGGACACCACATGCTGCGTCGCATAATCTCACCACGCTGTGCTGTGGATTCTGTCTGCACAGTCGTCGCCACGCCTTACTTGCAAGGAGGAGATGGGCAGGTCCAACGCCGTGGCGTCTGCCGCGCCCAAGGTCGCAGAGCCGAGCCTGTGTGTCCCAAGACGGTGGCGCCAGCCGTACTAGACAGCCGGTTCCTTGTTTACAGCCGGTGTCAGCGACAGCCGGTGCCGGCCAGCGCGTCCCGGCGGCACGTTTTGACACGCTTGGCGATCTGGCGCGCTTTTGTGCCTTCCATCTCACGCGGGGTGTGTTTCGGCACGTGGCGGTGTTCGATGAGAGCGTGCAGGGAAACTGGGCGCACATTTCGGCACGTTTTGCGCGCTTTGGCGCGTTTGGCGCATTTTGACACGAGTGAAAAAGGTAGCTTATTCTTCTCACCACGAAAAACGACCTGTTAGAGTAAATGAAGCCAAATAGAGAAACGCGTCAGGTAGAACAGGTTGAAATGGCGCTGCTCCTACGCAATTTCCTTGAATTGGAACAGCCTCTCGTGGGATCAAAAAGGTAAACCGTTTGCGTCTGATAGAGTAACTAGACAGGGGCCGCATGCTTGATGTTGCGGACTCACGCCCGAGGCTTCAAGTGGTTCCTTCAATACCGGGACAGCTGGTTCTACCCTGTATTCTTAGGTTCTTTTGAACCTGTTGGACGGGTGGAGCAACTTGTTGGACGGGTGGAGCAACTTGACAGAGCTGGGCAAAAATCTTGCCCACCTTTCGTAACAAGGGCGTATTTCCCAGGATCCTAAGTTGAAACTACA